TACCATTTTTATTGAATTCTGAATTGAACGATGATGTTATATAAACACGAGAATAAACTCTGTGTATGTGTGAAATGATCATTATCGTTATCAATTCAGACTATCAGTGAGGGAATCAGTATCTAGTTCATCTCTGTCTTTCGTTCATTTCGGAGAAGTAAAAGTATAAAAACTGCAGGATGAAAACACTGACGAATTCATTACCACAATCAATTGAAGCCGATGGGCATAGGCTTTAGTTCTTGCGTGTTTTCACCATCAATCACCTCCAGCTGTGCCATTGGAAATTGTATCATTTCTTAGACTTAGACCAACGACGGGAATATTCCAGACGAAAAAACTAACGAGCGCTAATGAGACTGGCAAGGAACGGGAAAAACGAGTATAAATTGGGTAGGTAATTGGACATCGTTCACAGATCTGAGTGATAGCGTCCTTATCTACTAGTACTTTTTATTACTCATTCTGCTTTTCGTCATCTGACCCGAAAAACCTATTATATTTTTTATAGATTAACGGAGACTCGTTAATCCATGATATTAGTGAATATATTCGCCTAGTTTGGATAAATACCTTCTTCCTCAGCTCTATTTCTTGAGATGGCAAAGACTTCTGTAGTCAAGGCTAAACATCATTTCTTCTCTTTCGTATTGTGTCGGAATTTGGGGCATCCGGTATACTGACTTACTAGAAAGAATACAAGTAGCATATTTCAAGTGACTACTTTGTTTAGCAATTCTATGAATGATTCTCGCCTATCAAAGATATGTTTTTTAAACCTTCTCTGAAAGGATTTCAAAAAGCTATCTCCCTTCATTATCACTTTCTATCAATATACCTTTCATTTCGAGATTTTTTTTTTTTTTTATCGCTTGGAGCGCACGAAAGGGAATCCCTATAATGTTCAAAGAACATCGTGCGTTCCTTGGGAGGATAGGGACAGGAGGTAGGTATTGGAATTTTTTTTGAACTTTTGGAGATTATATGTTGTTGGGAATACTTCCACAGGCAATGAATTCCAGAGCCTAGCCGTTCTGTGGATGAAGGAGTCTTGATAAAGATCATAAGATCAGGCTATCCCACTCAGAATATAGTGAAAATGGTATATTTCATCTCAAATTGTCTTATCCAATCTCATCCATTAAACTGATTGCACAGTTAAAAACAGCTAGCAATAGGCATAAATATTTTCTTTGATTGAGACTCAACTCATATTATAAAAATGGATCAAACTCGCTCTATATGCAATTTCCAATTAAGCAATTTACAAAAAAATATATAAAAACACAGAGCACGTACATATTATTGAATTTATGAAGAATACTAACACAAAGAAAAACTGTAGAAGGCTAAAACGAATAAAAAGATAAGGATTATGAAATAAGTGATTAACAGTTTTTTATCGCTTTCCTGGAAGAACATAAAGATGAATTGAACAGTTAAATTTGGTAATTGTGTGTATTTCCTGTTTTCATAATTCTATTCATGGATTTATTCTGGCAATAATTTAGGTAGGAATGAGACAATTTCTCAACTATTCTTAGAACGAACGACTGCGAATTTTGTTGAAGCCGTAGATCACAGACATGAATGATCTATTAGAAACCCTGAATACTGACATTTCGAAAAATCTACATAATTTTGTACATTCCCTAGTAGGCCTATTGAACCTTCGCTCTTTTGTTCTGGATGAATAGTAACACCGATGTATTATAGTCTCTATTTTGATATTGTATTGTATTATTTTAATATTATTACTTCATGAATAATATATTCTCATTATGTTTATCCACCTTTTTCTTTATGCTTGTGAAAGATACATAGACAATATTTCACTTTCATTTATATTTCTGTCATCAGCAGATACAGAACACAAAATTCATTTTTATAAGAATTGTGAATTCTTCATGAAAAATAAAGAAAAATCTTAAACGAATTCTAATTCTCAGTGTATGGGGTCATTCATTCCTCTCAGACAAAGAAAAAATATTTCGGTAACTTCATATTGACAAACCCAGAAACATCGATTGGAAAAAATTCAGTTCAATAGATGAAACTATACACCGGAAAACACATACAGGGTGTGCTAATGAACACTTTAAGACTTTGAAGTGAAAATATGGGATAACGCTAAGTCCAATCAAGTTTTGAGTCGAAGGGGAAGAAATTGTCTTTTTTTTTTCATCTCCACAAATTCAATGCCCTAACGAGGGAAATCCAACCCTCTGATTTTGAATAGAGGTGAGCTGCCTGTGTTGCGACACCTCATTTTGAAGATTTTATCGAGTACTATATATGTGTCCCTATTATCATTTTGCATCAGATTTTAGCGGCTGTACATTGTCGATAATTGCAGCAACAAAGTTTCCCCCTAACCGGTGGATGATACATTCCCTAAATTGAGAAAAACCGCCCCCAGCGAAGGCGTTCTATCGGTTTCTCTCACTTTTCCCAACAATCTTTTCTTGCATGCATGCAATGCAAAAGAAATACGGAACACGAAGTGTTACTTATGAACTTGTATGTACAGTGTGGCCATAGTTTTCGATGCTTTTGCGCGATATCTCAGTTATCTTTGGAGATAGGAGTGTTGCGTTTTTCACATTGTGAAACGAATAATGACGCAAACATAATTTTCACACTCCTGCATGTTTTTGAGATACTGGGCGAAGTTGAAAATTCTCACTTTTCGAGCACCTCCCGTATCTTGGTTACTTTTCAATTTATTGGCAGGATGAGAACAACACATTTATTATTATGTTTACATGGGAGATTGAGATTTCTAGTTCCTATTGGTTTCCAGAAACGTGAAAAAGAAAGTCACACGAGGATATTTCTCAAAACAAACAATTTAATCAATGAACCATTTGGACATTTCACATAATTTCATATTATCTGATTCGATCTCAATATGTCTTCCAGCAGTATAATCTCAAATGTTCTTCCGTACAGGGTTTGTGACAACATTCTTCCACTATTCCACACTGAGAGAACAGTTTATTAACAATAAAGAAATTTTATTTATTGTTAACGAATGACGTTGTTGAATATGGACTAACTAACATGATTTCATCACAAACTAATGGTATTTTAAAAAATTACAAACAAATATACAGGTTAATATTAAGTTATAATAATCTTGATCTCAAGAAACATATATTAAATATTAACAAATATCACTTTGTGGACACTATTCCCCATTTTGCATTAAAATAGATTTGTTTATAATAATGTAACGTTACTTCAAAATCAATTAACGTTTTCTTAATGCAATCGACTGTCACTTATATGTTAAGTTATCTTTATTAAAACTTAATACACTGCGTTTTAATTTTACCTTTTCCAGTGTTGTACAGAAAGGAGGCATTGTTTCAATAAAGAAGCATTACTTATAGCATAAGGAATCATTTTGTTATTGATAAGTTATGCTTCGTCAATATATAATATATTGTTTGGTTATTGATAGTTAATATTTTGAGTCGACGATCGATGGTTCCAATTGTTTTTTCCTAACAAAAAGAATAAAGAGTCTCTGCGAACAAATTTATTTAAGCAAAAGTTTACAGTATAGTTACATCACATATATTTTGATATCAAAACATCTGAATAAAAAGAGCTAAGATCAGACCAGGAATCCAGGTGTATCGAGCATCCACTATATTGATATGAATGATCTGTAACATAAAAATAAACAAGTTCTTGATAGAGATAATATATCTTTTCCCATTTAATAATCGGTACGGTATTTTTTCATCTCTTGGAGCGCACGAAAGGATGTTGAAATTGCATTTAATTATTCAAAATGATTGTAAAGTATAAGAAAATAAAAAACTATCAGGTTTTCGAAGGTCAACGATGTTCATTAGGTCGAAAAGTCATGATTTTTCATCTGATGCATCAATTTCGAAGCACTTGGACGGATTAAAATGGATGAGATACAAAAATGTTGGCATGTTTATGGACATCTCAACAGTTGTCGAATACTGATTGACAATAACAAAGGCATGTTAACTATTAACAAATATTGGTAACTATCTAATTAATTTCATATTCGAGCCTTGTTTCTTCAATCAAGGATTTTGTGGATTTGCATCCATTCTTATAAATCTATTCACTTATATGAATTTGCACTTTCATCTCCTCACAATTGATCTGTACAATCATCATCCTATGTACAGGAAGATCAACCATTTTACCTTGCGGAATCTTCCAACAAAGTTTCCTAGACCCCACCCTCTCAGTGTTTCCTCAATCTTGGAAGTCTATAGAACAAGATTTAGAGAAAATGTATCAGCATTTTTTAATCTATGGTAAGAATTAGAGTCAGACGATGAGAAATATATAGGAATTCAATTAATAATAACACTTGATGGAGAAGTAAATGCTAGTATGATTTATTCACCATGCAGACTCGCTCTTAGAAATTGAAAACAAAATGATAAAAACTCACCAGCCACTTCATGTTATACCTATGCTCCAGCACAAACTGTGATGAAACTCAAATTCACATTCAACAGTGCACACCACAATTTTCTGTGTTAGCAATAATTGATATTTGATTATTAGGCCACTCCAAGCGTCCTTTGCAGTCTAACATGTTGACTCCGACTACCTACTGCATTCCAACCTCGAGCATGCGCCGAAGAGAATATCACTACGTCATGGGAAGGTCAATAATTGTATAACGAATAATTTGTTTCTCTCAAGAATAATTTCATATTATCTAAGCAATTAAACTGTGGAGAGAATTTGTTACCAGTTAATAAATGGTAATTCGAGAGTAAGATTCCATAACGTTTGCATATAACGAACAGGTTTGTGACAAACTCATGGAAGTTACTCCTAAAAACATATGTTAATATTGAAAGAATCAGCTTCTAACGAATCCTTTGTTTTCGGTCAAGGATTCTTTTACAAATTACATGGTAGTATTTAATAAGGTATATTGATGACAAGAAGATGGCGTTAATATTCAACGAAGCATACTCAAACAAATCAATTTATTTATCATAACAAAACCTTTCCCTCAGTGCAGGTTTGCGTTTCCTTGGCAACGCAATCATATTGTCTTTCCTGAGGAATGGAAATTCGTATTCTTTGTCATCAGGATACATTTCGTCTAGTTCTTCGTATTCTTCGAAGTTGAAAGTATCATCTGAAACTGGAACGAGTTTGTTTTATAAAATCATTATACACGATATTTCCAAAGGTGAATCATATTTTATGACTGGATTCAGAACTTGTCGAATCATACAGTTTCAACGAAGATCGAATCAAAATCGAATATTTCCTGAATTGTTACTATGGATCTGTCGTGATAGCGATATATCCGATTATTCAATCAGTTCGATCAGTTCAATCAGTTCAATCAGTTCAATCAGTTCAATCAGTTCAATCAGTTCAATCAGTTCAATCAGTTCAATCAGTTCAATCAGTTCAATCAGTTCAATCAGTTCAATCAGTTCAATCAGTTCAATCAGTTCAATCAGATCTCAATCAGTTCAATCAGTTCAATCAGTTCAATCAGTTCAATCAATTCAATCAGTTCAATCAGTTCAATCAGTTCAATCAGTTCAATCAGTTCAATCAGTTCAATCAGTTCAATCAGTTCAATCAGTTCAATCAGTTCAATCAGTTCAATCAGTTCAATCAGTTCAATCAGTTCAATCAGTTCAATCATTTCAATCAGTTCAATCAGTTCAATCAGTTCAATCAGTTCAATCAGTTCAATCAGTTCAATCAGTTCAATCAGTTCAATCAGTTCAATCAGTTCAATCAGTTCAATCAGTTCAATCAGTTCAATCAGTTCAATCAGTTCAATCAGTTCAATCAGTTCAATCAGTTCAATCAGTTCAATCAGTTCAATCAGTTCAATCAGTTCAATCAGTTCAATCAGTTCAATCAGGGACCAGGTAGCCGTGCGGACAGAGTGTCTATATTCTAATCCGCATACGCTTGCCGGTCGTGGGTTCGATTCCCATCGACTGCAGAAATTTTTCTGATGGCCTAAGGAAGTGTTTGGGATCACACGTTAAAAGGTAAGGCCCCCGTCATTCCTTGCTCGCACAAGACTCTCGAAGACTTCTTAGGGTTGCTCTCAGTTCAATCAGGCCAATCAGTTCAATCAGTTCAATTAGTTCAATTAGTTCAACCAGTTCAATCAGTTGAATCAGTCCAATCAGTTGAATAGAGGACAACTTTCATGTATGACATTTTTAGTGAAATGGCTTATGTTGATGGACATCCTACCATGTATAGAAGAACTGTTTCTATCAGTTACCGTGAGATGCTTTATGATCATCGAGGGAACATAACAAGCGAAGAATAGTACATTATACATCATGGGATAGAAATGGAAGATTTTCTCCTAGATACAAAGCACCGAGGAAAAAATAGCATTCTGTTCTGAGGTGTAAGTATATACTATTGTTTACGCTGGCGAAAACACCAAAATTAAGAAATAATAAAAATTTGGTCAAAGTATTTTGTCATAGTTAGTAGTAATATAACTGCGTAACTGGTGTTGAAATGAACATTCCATCACTAGTTATGTAATATTTCACTTTATACAACTGTAAGTAAGACATTCCAAAAATTCCGCCAGTTTTAAAAAGTATCAAATTATACATGTCAAAATGAAAAAACAATATTATACGTAACTAGTTAGGAACTTATATATATATTATAGGATGTAACCGTTGACCGAGTTCATTGGGATACGTTCTGTGCCACCAAGGGAAACTTACATGAATCATCAGCTTTTTTAGTTTTCCCTGGAGCGAACATTTGATTGCATACTAGACTCAGAGCATTCTTCAGACGGGAACCGCATAGAGGCCTATTTCTTTTCATCACTGTATCCAAACTATACGGAGAACAATTGATGTAATGAATGGTGAAGATGGTCAAAATCAGAAGTTGGCGATGGTTCATCTGAAAAAAAAAACACATAGATAGGTAGTTATAAGCATGAAAATTTAAATTCCGTTAAACCTACCAAACAACATTTTCAACTGCATCAGTGGTGAAAATCTGTAATGATTCTACACCTCTTGATGTCGATGCTGAGAGATCATGCAAGAGTATAATGGGATACTTTATTTCCCAACTTGATATTGATATACATATCTTATAATAAGTTGAACGAATGTGAGTAAGAAAAAGATTATTATTGGGAAAATATTTAGTATAGAACGAAATCGAATTACAATGCAACATCGAAAAATTTGCTCATCTTGAAAGTGGATATTCATCAACTATATAGTTAACGTTCTTTCAAATTCAGAAAATCGGTTTGAAATATGCCTTGTTCAACATTCAATCATGTTTGCGAATTTTGCTATGTTTTTTCGATGGTTTTTTTCTCCTCCTAACCTATAAGACTAGGATTTGAAACATGTAGTGCAAAAAAAGTGCATAACATTCCAGATTTTGAGTGAGACTTTGAGATTTTCACATTATTGAAATGATATAATAAAGCTTCCAAATTATGTATATACAAGTAACCATCAGTATTCTCAACTCAGTTTGATGAAATTATTTTCACATGTATCAAATCTATTCATTTTGATTCTTATCCTGAGGGTCCCTTTGTAACATGAAAATTTGCCTTTTCGTGTTCCATATTGTGAATTCTGCAAATAGGTAATGGGGAAGCTTTGTGAAGATGCACTGCGTAACTCAATGATTTCTTTTCTAGGTTTTGAGGTACTTTACATAATTCCATCTTGTTGAATGTTTTCATTTTCAATGTCCATGACTGGATGACTGTTAGGTTATTATAGTCCACTTCTTATCCAACCTTACACATTTGTCAGATGCCCATGAATATTGTTGTTTACATCATAGTCTCTTGCCAGTAGAAGACTGTTTGTCGCGTTTAGTGGCAGTGGCCTGTAATGGTGCAGGGATATTCGCAATTTTGTATCGACTGCTGGATCGACTAATGTATCGACTATCGTATCGACTATCGATATCATGATCGATATTCAATGTTTCTGTCAAGTTGCATCCCTGAATCTGACTTGAATCATATTATTGGGTGGCTAGATTGACTCTGCGCAGAGACGAAATTTGGTTTCTGAAATAGATCACAAGTGCTCTGATTGACGGAAACTTGTTGTTTGGGCAATTTCCGTTTCATTATCCTTCTTGCGGATTCCTTCTCTTGCGAAAAGGTTTCATGTGTTGAAGCCAAAATGAAGCATTTTTGATTTTGGCTCTCGTGCGATCAGGTCAGGTGGTGGACACCTACTTTTGTGTCAGGCCTTTCCGATATGCCGATAGGAAGATATCACGGCCTTATACAGGGGAGCAGGGGGTAGAGAATAAGTGGACGATTTGAACTCCATTTTCTTTTGACCACATGGCATGTTTCTGGACTTGAATTTTATCACTCAACACTGTTAACTAGATGGATCACTGAATATCGAATCTCATCAACTATGGGCATTTAGAAATCTTGAACTGTTTTCTTGACTTCACTGTTTGGACATCACGTGGACACTTTTTTCGATGGTTGAGGCACCTGATGGATCTTCGTGCTTTGAAGCCTGAGTCACCAGTACACTTGAAGGTGGAGGCAGAACCCTGGTGATCTCTTGTGTGTGTCCTCGAGCATCTATAGGACCCGACAGCCTGGAATTTCTGGCAGAATCCTTGCTGCCAACAGTGCAAGTCCCTAGCAGCCGTTCTGGTTCAGATAGCCAGTGATCCTGACTTCTGACAGGAAGTCCAGGGGAGTCCAGACTCCTGGTATGGTTGATGATCCTTCATCCCTAGGATTTTTGTAACTTTGGAGCCTGAACTCCCAGAGCCCAGTCAGATAGTGAGACGTCCTGGTCCAGCTTGGATGGTAGGAAGAGCTTGCCCTGGTGGCAGCCTGTGGACCTGTCAGCCAGAGTTGCAGCGCAGCATCCAGTTACCCTGGGATAAACCAAGTGCCTAGGTCTCCAGGTGGTTGTGACTCCTGTCAACTGTGTGATCCAGTTTTCCTAGCACACCTAACCCCTAACGCCGACTGAGGAAGGAGTGTTTTTGTTTCATCCAGGTAGTGAGATCTAGTGGACCACAGTTGGAATCTCATGGTACAAAATCCAGAACTTGCAGTTAAGGTCAGAATTCTCCATATACATATTTTTTTCCCTGTCTTGAGGACACTTAATATACCATATTTTTGGTCTGTCTGTCTTGAGGACATATAACATACATATTTTTTCACTGTTTTGAGGACATATAACATACATATTTTTTCACTGTCTGAGGACATTTAACATGTACTTTTTCCCCTGTTTTGAGGACATTTAACATATCATATTTTTTTCACTGCCTGAGGACATTTAATATACATATTTTTCACTGTCTAATGTCATAAGATATTTAAACACTTGACAATAACACATAACAGTCTAAGATCGGATTTTACATATAATAGAATTATTGGGTCTGTTAGAGACTCTGTGAACCCAAAGTATAGGCCTATATGAAGGGAAATCTACCCTTGCACTGAGTTACAATCATAGAACATATTCACCACCATTCTGAATACCTATTGTTGGCATGTTAAGGTGAATAAATCTGTTAACAGTTATTTTGGCTTATAGTTATATCTTGGATTATTTTTCTCAGTAATTCGCTGCGAAAACTGAGTGGCGCCTGTCAAAAGGACAACCCCACTAGTTACCAATAAAAAGAACTAACTCACGACCTGTTCCCAAACAAACGAGCTGCCATGCCTATAACAAATAAAAAATCTTTTTCTTTTCCAAAACATCAAAAGAGTTGTTATACCTTTCTGATTTCGGGAAGTAGATTTCCTGTTGGTCGATTGATTCTAACGAAATGTACCATGCGTAGGGAATTGTGGAAAGAAGCATTAAATCAATTTTAGAATAAGTAATACCTCGCCATTCATTGTTCGGCATCGTCTTTAAGGACATTTTTTTATTATTTGGAATCCTAACGTGTTTTCTTTATTTAGATTCAAATTCATGTGCTCGACATCGAAAGCGATGCAGAATCTACTAGAAAAACTTGACTTATCATTTAAAATGCTACTAAACTAGTACTGATAGGAAGACAATAGTCATTCGAATGGTCTCCGATGGTACAAAAATCGATCAAAAAAGGACTAACTGATACTATATAGAATCGTACAATGTACATGTTGCAACCTTGTCCAGACACATAATCTTGCGGTATCAATATGCAACATCAGTACACAATAAAAAAAATGGTCCATAAACAATTCAGTATTCTTAATAACTTACCATGTTAGGTATATTGTGCTGCACTGAAGTGATGGTACATAGGAACTTTATCTTTTATACCTACAGGAGTGTAGAAGGTGTTTACTGAAATCGTTTAAAGGGACACCTACTTGTTTGTCTGAATAAATATAGAAGCCCACATTATAATAATTGATCTAGTATGCTCAAACTTCAGTTCCTTATTCAACTTGACACTCTCATGGATACATTATCATCAAATTCCAAAATTAATAATTTATATTTGGTCAAGGTGATGAAAGGAAAGTAAGCGAATAATTTTACTCCTTCGGGATTATGTACCCTAAATACAGGGCCTATATTTTTCATTTAGTTGTGCCCAAGGCCCAAGCAACATTACGATCATTCATATATTCTTATATTCAAGTAGCACATATATATTGGGACAATATCGGTGCAATATTACGAAAATTTCGGCAAAACATTGTGAACGTAATATTTGCGAGAAACAATATGTGAACGATCAATTGTTTTTCATCTTGTATTCCTATCAAAATTTGTTTTAGAAGCGAGAAAAAAATTGGCTAAGTATATTTCAACTAACAAACATTCACCTGATTTTTCAACAGAACAGAGGTTGAGTTGGAAGAACAAGAATTGCTATACATACACATTGATTCACATACCTTAGGAGGAGGGACAGAAATAATTATCTCTTTAGAAGGAACCAAGGAACTCAGAATCAAAACCACTCTGCGTTTTTGATCTCAATTTTCTAATGGACAATAGTTTGAGATAATGGCTATAATATACAAATCAACAACTTACCTTGAAAGGGAAGCAATATAAAGAATACGATTAAAATAATTGAAACATCAAAACCAATCACACCTTCATCTTGATTTTCTCCCAGAAAGTTAGGACACGAGAAAATGAATTTCTATACAGGGTATCCAAGAATGGCGTTCGTATACTCAGGGATGGAAAATAAGAAAAATTCTGCAATCAACATGTGTCTGAAATTATTTCTTATGTGAGAGCGCTATAATAGTCCTTAGAAGGTAGGTCGCAGTTTCCTTCAATTATCTTTGTTAGCACTGATTATTTATAGTATCACGAAATTTGGTTCCTATGGGTGATTTGATACTACAAAAAGTTACTTGGTGCGAAAAACATCATCCAATAATACAGAGAGGTGCGAAACTCCAAATCGATGCTAATAAAATGCCCAAAGTTTTCTTTGTTCCACTATTTATCTCATTTTGAGTATAGCAGAATATGTTCCTTCAAACAATTCAACATAAAAAGAAACTCTCGTTAGAATGCTGGAAAACAGACCTTTTTCGAGAAAAGTGTAATTTTGCATTTTTATGACAAAAAAATTTTACTAGTGGATAAGGTTTTGAAATTTCTACAATTAACATTGCCGTTAATTTTTCAACAAATGAACATCACCTCCAACTCTAATAGAAATGAACTACCGCTCAATACAAAATTTCAATCACCAAGCTCCACTTTTTTCATCATATAAGAAAGATCACCCAAAATCATTGATGTGATCTTTTTCGGACATCAAAATGAATCTTCACAGTTTTCTTGAAAACTGTTCGTTTTACGGCATTCTTATAAGAGTATCTTTTCTAGGTGAATTGAGAAACGAGTTTCGCACATCCCTGTATAATAATAATAATAATAATAAACTTCTTTATTTTGAGAAGTAATTACAATACATTGCATGTAGAGCAACCATTGAACAAAATAGGGTCACTCTCGAAAACAATTACTTACATACCATAAAATTCTTCCATTGTATAAGGTTTCAAGCTTATTAACGAATTGTATACTTCTTTTTTATATGCAGTGAGATTATTGATGACTTTGATATGTTCTGGCAATTTGTTGAAACATTTGATAGAAGAGTACAGTGCCCCATTTTCAGTTACACTCAGTCTATGTATTGGATACTGCAGATTTACATGTCTAGTTGGGTATAGGCCTCTTGCTTCAAATCGTGTGAACAATTGCCTATTTCTGAACAAAAATAAAAGACATTCTTGAATGTATAAAGCTGGCACTGTTTGAATCGTATTTTTCCTGAAATGGCCCCTACATGACCGATACCACCGATACAACAAGGCCTGCATGCTCCGTGGGTGACGTCACATAGTCAGGCCTAACCAGCGGCTCGAAACGACAAGCGCTTATAGCGCTATTAGGCGACCGCGTATTTCGATTTTAGTTTTAGATCATCATTGAGCCGATTTTGCTGTTTTTTGAAGGGCTTCCGGTTAAAAAAGGATGCCTGTCGTCAACTGAGCCCTTCTTCGCACCCCATTCGATTTTATTATGTAAAAACGAAGTTTTAAAGCAAAAACCAGGATAGAACACAAATACCCACCTACAGCAACCCACTCGAATTAAATATATTGGCAAAAATTGTGGTGAAGGTAAACTTCACACCTACTTATACAGGGCCCGCAGAACATAAACTTATCGTGAGATTGATCGAAAGAAAATTGTGGAAAATGTATTTTATTTTGATTGACATGCCGTTTGTTACAATTACCTATATTTATCTTGGAGAATTCCTATTACCTGAAAAAATAACCAGTGAGTGTTTTCAATTTTCTGTTGTTGGATTTTTACCCAAGTGGATCGTTACACTTGAAACCGTCATTTTTAAGGGTAAAACTGCATTTATCATGCGATGGTTTTTTTTTCTGAAAATTTTTTTCGGTACTCACGTATTTTTGCCTGATAAACCGAATTTTATAATGAAAATGTGAACAAACCACTATTTATTGAGATATTTCAAGAAAAAGTTCGAAATTTCGCCTTCTTTCTCCCCTTGTTTTGGGGGCATTTGAAGCTACTTGCTCTTATTTTGTCATTGGACACTTTATATACTCATGATGTGGCCGGGATTGGCGCAGTGGAAGAGCGTCCGTCTCACGACCGCAAGGTCGTGGGTTCGATTTCCAGCACGGGCAAGGAACTTTTTTCAATATTTTATTTACGAATTAAATATTGTAAAGTTTCGGAGCATCGGCTGGGGATAGTCCTGCACGATTCGCTGTTGCGTTCCAATTAACAGTGCTGCTCCTAAAGTGGCGCATGGAGTTAGTAACAAAGCCTACACAGAACACGCAGAAAGATATGATGATGTGGTTGTGAGCATCAGAGAAGAAGTAGGACGGTGTATGTAGGTGGTTGTAGAAAACTACCAGCTGAGCGTGAGAGCGGGCCAGCTGCTTAAGTAGACCTCGGTCTCGGGGGTTAACGATGATAGTTAGCAGGCCTGCCACTGCGCATATGGTAGTGAGTACATGTATGTAGGTGGGTGTAGAAAAACTACCAGCTGAGCGTGAGAGCGGGCCAGCTGCTTAAGTAGACCTCGGTCTCGGGGGTTAACGATGATAGTTAGCAGGCCTGCCACTGCGCATATGGTAGTGAGTACATTACTAGCCTACAAAACACAGCTGAAAAACTCTGAAAAGAGAGCTGAGGGGCGGTGCCTGAAAAGGATGTTAGCCAGCTCTCTTGAGCGAACCACATCAGTCATTGAAAAACACTTGGGGTTGGCAAAAAGGTCCCATTGGGGACTAGTTGCTGACGTGGAAACGTCCCCCACCAGTACCAGTACCAGTACCAGTACTCATGATGTACTTCGATGGCACATTTTTATATAGAAAATTCAACAGGAAATATGATTTTTATGGCTAGTTTTTCATATTTAGTGAACAAGCATTCCAGATGACGACCATTTAATCAATAGTTAATCAGAATATGAGATGTCAAATGTCAATAGATTGCTTTCAAATGACATTACACACGCCATTATTTTGAATGATATTCTTTCTTCTTTTCACTAAATATGGATTAATCTCAAGAAAATCATATTTATAATTGAATTATATATAAATTTGTTCTAAATGCCATCCAGAAGACAGGTGAAAAAGAAGGTGAAATTTGGAACTTTCTAGTCAAATATTTTCATGATAAAAATCATGATAAATGCAGTTTTACCTTTTTTGAGTAGAGTGTTTGTAGTTCATGTTAATATGATAGTTGCAATTTGATCATTGGAATGAATTCTGCATTCATTGCCACGAGGCAAATGACCATTTTCAGAAAGAAATTTGAGAATGAGGATTAAAAATGCCCATTTATCGTGAACATTCAAGAAAATTTCCTCGAATTCAGAGAAGATTTTGTTGACTATAATATACGAATACAAAACTAACTGCACAATCAAAGCTTTTCTATTTTTCCTCTACTTATACTTTTTATGAGAGTTATTGTCCTCTATTATTAATTCATCATTATAAATTAAGCTCTGTTTACTACTGAACTTAGATACTTAGATGGAGTAAAATCCTCGCTGTGAATTGCATATACTTACCCACATTTTCGATAGCTCCTCGTCCAACGGGAAACTAAAAGCATGAACTAACACGAACTGACGCGTTAGTCGACAAGCGATAAAATAAAACACTGGCCTCACTTTTCGACATCACGAGCTGTTTACGTCAGAGTCTGCTGGCCTTGTTGTATCGGTGGTAACGACATGACTCATTGTATTTCAAATTTAACATTATTCTCAATGCTCGTTTCTGAATCAAGAATACATTTTCAATATCTCGACTATTACCAAAGCATATCAAACTATATCGTATTCTTGATTCAAAATTTGAGTGATACACAATTTTCAGTGTTTGAAAGTTTGACTGAGTTTTTTACAGAGTTGCTCAACATGGATGTTCCAGCATAGAAAACTATCTATACAGGGTGTTTCATAATTGAATGCTGATCCTAAAGGGCAATAATCCTTGGATGATTTTGAGAAAAATTCTTCATGTGAACATAGGTCCGTAACAGCTTCGTTTCTGAGATACAGGATGTTGAAATTTAACAAAAAAATGAGTTATTCCCCAATATCTCGGAAACTGCTCTGGCTTTTTTCTTCATTACAAAAACTTCAAAATAGTTACCATAAAATTATAAAAATATTGCTTAGATCTTTTGGTTACCACAATTGTGAAATTATGACTAAGAGTAAAAATCGAATAGGGACAAGCAAATGAATGCATTTTATTTTTTAACTCAAAAACCGTTT